AGAGCGGACAGTTGATTAAAGTGCAGCATAGTGTAATGATTAAGAATGGTGGGCAGAAATGTCTGGTCTGAAACCCAGCTCTGCCACTTATAAGCTGTGGGCAATTTACTTAACCTCTCTGTGCCTCAGTTTTCTCATCTGTAAAACCGTGATTATAATCAGCCCTACCTCACAGGATTGTTAATAGAATTAAATAATTTTATGGTACCTGGAACATACTAAGTGTTTATTATTATCATTTATTACACATAAGCAATTAGAGGGTACTCATATTATCTTCTAAGTTGAAAAATATCTGTATATCAGTTTTTGGACATGAATTTCCAAATGTAATGCTGTCTATCTGTTCCAATACTGGACGATAAGTGAATGCATCATCTTTCTTCCTACATTTGAAAAATATTATTGTACGTTTAGCTGATGAATTGTTCAGCTGCTTCTTATCAATGACTGTTCTCCAGAAAGATTAATAATGCCTGGCTCTAATCAGCCCCATGTGCAAACTTCAGATGCTTTCCTGTGCATCTGCCACTCCCCTGACCAAGAGGAACACTCCGTGATTAAAAAATATCTAAAAATGCCATCTAGATGATGATCTTAGCCTTAAACATTATTAGACATTTATGATTTATACTGATTGCTAAGTTAGAAAGTCGGGATTTCTAACTTCCCAATATTCCTGCCCCTTACAAAACAGAAAACACTTCTTTAAGGTCTTTTTTTTCACATTGGATTCCGTCAACTGGTTTTATGTAAAAATCAATGAGGGGAGGGAATGTCCATTACATGCCAGGCTCTGGGCAAGGCACTTTATATAATTATCTTATAGACTTGAGGTTAACACCAAGTGCGTGGCAGAGCTGTTTTTGCTGGAGGAGCCCTAATTCTGGAGCATTGCTCAAAGACCACTAGAGCTGAGGATCCGTCAACTTAGATCGACGGTCAATTAATGCCTTTTGTTCCCTTCCTTTGCCAATCGTGTCTCTCTAGGGATCAGTGAAAGAAGAGGTGCAAGTTTGGCTTTATTGATTCTAAAAACCTTCATCCTACAATTATGACAACAATGATAGTATCTAGCATTCATTTAGTGTATAGCTGCTTTTATATTGTTCCATGATGCAGCTCTGAGGAAACTCTTCAGAGTCCTAGACACATAACTTAATTTGGGGTTGAGGTCACACAACTTGGAAATTACTGATTTTGTTATATCCCTAAGTAAACCAATCTGGTAAACAAAAGGATCTTCAAGTTTGGATCATCCAATCAAACACAGTAAAACCAGCATTTAGGATAAGTCCCTTACTGAAAAAAAGTGATTAAAAAAACAAAGTTGGAAAAGAACACTCCTAAGTACTTTTGGTTGAGTATTTTATAAACTAAGGCACAGAGTTTGGTGATTGTTAATGGTGACTAGTCCAAAGTCGTGGTTTTTATTCCTGACTTTGTCAGATTCCTTTGTCATCACTTGAATATGCCAGTTAAGCCACTGTGCCTTCCTTTTGCATTTTTAATCAAATGAACACCACCATAAGATGTTACCTGGGAGTGCTCAATGGAAGGATAAAACACTCTTAAAAGAATAGGTTATTGTAATCATTTCCTGTGTTTGGCTGGTTTATCCTGCTGTCACTGAGGTAGGTTTTCATCTATATGTGATAATTCACTGTAGGTCTGATGGAAAGTTTTTGTTTTTAATTACCAAAATAATAAGGTGCCCAACCCAGTTCTCCTGCTAAGCTCATCAAGAGTGATAACAATGGAAAATTTAACACTGACAGGAGCCCCTGTGTTATAAAATACAAGAAGTGGAATGAATCTCAGTGTGCCTAGAAATAGTCCTTCAAATGCTAGTTTTTAAATTTAAGAGAAAACATAGAAAAGTTAAAAGGAGATGCTAAGTGGCATTTTTCACTCACCAGGATTAGAAATAATCATAAAAAACTTATCAAGGATATTTTCACATTTATTTATGTCAGAGACATTAAAGGAGTCATTTTACCTTGCACATAAGGACTGCTTATTAATTCATCTATAAGACCTAGGAAGGCATTTACTATGTCTACTTTTAAAAATCACAAATTAAAATATCACATCATTTCATTCATTTATGGCAAACTCTCTTCCAACGGTAATATATTTTACTTTTTAAAAAAAGATTTATTTTTTGGTTTGGACAAAAACATTCAATTCAATGATAGTACTTAACACTTTCCCACTTAATCATGTAAGATTTTCTGCTTTAAATACTAATTTTTTAAGTTACTTTCTTCACACCATTGTGTAATTATCTTTCTCTTTGAAAACTACCCAATCAAGAACCACTTTATATAGTTTATATTACAAGCTACACAATTTGCAAATACCTAATTTTCATTTATAGTGAAAAATGAAGTGAAAACTTCTTAAAAATTATTTCAGCTCAGAGCATAGCCATATAAAGTGGTTCCTGATTTTGTTATTAGTATTGAATTAACATGAAATATTATCTCCCTAAATCTTTTCTAATTCAATGCCAAACACACAATAATGCAATATTACCATCTTCAGTAAGTGCTAATCCTACTGTATAAGCAGAATGTTTGTCTTGATGTTTTCCTAATTCAACCTTATCGTTCTGATGCATCTTTTCCTCTAGGCACATAGTCTGTGGGAGCAAGAAGGGGCTCCAGAAGCCCTTTAATCTGACCCACTCACTCCTTTTTTAAATGTGGCTTTAAAAACCTGAAGCACACTCTTTCAAACACCGGCAATGTGAAGCTACTCAGAAAGAAATCTAAAGTTTGCATTCAGACTTTACCTTTGTAAAATCCCCAACGAATCCCCCACAGCATTCTTCACTCCTTCCTTTCCAGGTTTCAGAAATTTTTCTTTGAAGGTATCAAATGCTTTAAAAGGCATTTTGAAAAGGGGGTATCTCCAAGCCGTCAACAGTCAGTCTCGGAAATTGTCATCCTTTCTCATTTCCAGCGTGGGGACCACTCTGCTTTCCTCGATGAACACCTGGAAGTCAGTTCTCATACAGGTGACTACTTAAAATCAAAAAGAAGATGAAACCCAGCCCAGATCTTTCAAGATGAGACAACACCCCCTGCCAAAAAAAGGAGAGGCCAAGTGGTATGTGACTGGGAATTCGGCCCCTCTCAGCTCCCAGCTCAGCAGCAGCCTGTGGTGCTGTCTCAGGCAGCCACTCTCAGGCTGAGCGCAGCCCAGCTACTGCCCTGGGCTGCAGCTGGAGAAGCTAAAGTGGGTTCCAGCCCACGAGGTGTCCCGAGACCAGCGACAGCACCTGCAGCCTATCTCCAGCCCCTCCTGCTGCTTCAGACCACATTCCCCTCCTGGCTCACTCGGCTCAGCTGTGGCTTTCCCTGAGTGATCCTTTCCAAGGTGATGCCATAGTAACCAGGACAATACCTGCCCCTCGGTCGCTGGGGCTTTTAATGCACTCTCAGCCAGAGCAGGCACCCAGGGCGAAGTGTGTGAAACATTCACAAGTCCTCTGCTTTTCTGAGGTCTGGCCCCTAAGACAGGCTCTCAGCGACCACATTATGGCCTCTTATGCCTCTCGAGGGAGGCGTGAAACACTTTTTCTGTGAGACACCAGAAACACTTGCACTTGAGGAGGCTAAATGCAAAACCCAGGCCACAAACCTCTAGGAGGGCATTTATCTGGTCCTGATCAACAGCAGGATCACTCAAGGTGTGGTGTGTAAGTGCCACTGGGACCACTGAACTGAAGATGACAGAGCAGGTCCTAGAACCTGCTTAATGCTCTTCATCCTCAGGATAGGTCTAAATTCTTTATCATGGCACACAAGGCCCTCTGTGGGGCTCCAGCCTTGTTTCTTGTCACTCTGCTCTTTATGTCAGCTTTTCACTGAATTCAGCAAGCTCCCTATCACCTCTGAGGTTTACTCAGACTGTAGCCTCTGTCTGGATAACTCTCCTCACCCTTCATCTGGGAAATGTCGAGGGATTCTTTTTTTTTTTTTTGCGGGACGCGGGCCTCTCACTGCTGTGGCCTCTCCCGTTGCAGAGCACAGGCTCTGGACGCACAGGCTCAGCGGCCATGGCTCACGGGCCCAGCCGCTCTGCGGCATGTGGGATCTTCCTGGACCGGGGCACGAACCCGTGTCCTCTGCATCGGCAGGCGGACTCTAAACCACTGCGCCACCAGGGAAGCCCCATGTCAAGGGATTTTTAAGTCTCACAGGGATATCACTTCCTCTAGAGACCCTCATACACAAGGTTAGGTATCCTTCCTCTGTGCCCCCAAATCACCTGTCCTCGAAGCCAATAGGATCTGACATGTAGTGGTATAACATAAATCATTGTTGGACTGGAGTAGAAATAGCACATGTTGCTCCCACACTGATGGGTGGCAGGATGACCCCTCCATAAATGATGCTGCCATGAAGAAACAGCCTTCATCTGTGAGGCTCCAGTGCTCCAACCCCCAGCCTGCAGGTGACTGACAAATCCTGTGCTTTAGACTCTCAGATTCCCCCAGAGTCATTTCCACAAGATGAGTCGCTGCCCTCTGCAGTCGTAGTCCAAATCCTTCTCCAGGATTTGAATTTAGTTGATATAAATCAGAGCTGGATCCTCAGTAGGTTAAATACTACCACCAATAATAATAATTATTTTTATTATGGTTAATATTTGTTGAGCTCTTTTTATGGTCCAAACTTTGTGTTAAGCATTGTTTACATATTATCACAATCTTTCCAACACTACTTTGTGGATAGTTAATTGTTATTTTCCCCAACTTCACTGACAGGAAACTGAGGCAAAGAGAGGTTAGACTTGCTATTTCAGATCCACACAGCTTGGCTCCATGCAGTCCTATTCTCATTTGTCTCTGTCTCTGTCTCTCTCTCTCCTCCTCCTTTCTTCCACCCCCCCCACACCCCATACTACCTCCTCTGACTTTACTGAGGTATATTTTGCATATCACACAATTCACCTATTTCAAGTGGACAATCAATGATTTTTAGTAAATTTACCAGGTTGTGGAAGCATCACCATAAAGCACAAAGCAGGTAGAACATTTCTATCATCCCAAAAATATCCCTCATATTCACTGTTAGTCCCCATCTCCCATACCCCACACTGCCCCAGGCAACCATCAATCTTTCTCTCTCTATAGATTTGCCTTTACTAGACATTTCATATAAATGGCATCAACACACTATATACCATACGATATATTGTCTCTTGTGTCTAGCTTCTTCCATTTAATATGATGATTTTCAGAATTGTCCATGTCACAACTTGTGTCAGTAGTTTGTGCCTCCTTTTCTGCTTTCTGTGGTATATTTTATTGTATGGACATACCACCTTGTGTCTATCCATTGATGGACATTTACGTTGCTTCCAATCTCTGGCTATCATGAATACAATTGTTAAGAACATTTGTGTGCAAATCTTTCTGTGGAAAAATCTTTTCATTTCTCTTGGGGAAATACCTAGGAGTGGAATTGGTGGATTGTATGGCAAGTATATGTTTAAACTTTTAAGAAATGGCCAAATTATTTTCCAAAGCGGCAGCACTATTTTACATTCCCAGTAGCATACATGAGGACTCCCATTTCTGACATCCTCACCAATATTTGTTGTCTGTTTTTTTTTTTGTATAACCATTCAAGTGGGTATAAAATGGTATCTCATTGTGGTTTTAGTTTGCATTTCTCTGATGACTAATGGCATTGGCCATGTTGTCATGTGCTTATTTGTCACTGGTGTATCTTTTTTGGTAAAATTTCTATTCAAATATTTTGCCCATTTTTAAAATGAGTTTTTTGCCTTATTATTGAGGTGTATGAGTGTATATTCTCAATACAAATTCTTTATCAGATAATACGACTTGCAAATATTGTCTCCCAGTCTACTGTTTGTCTTTTCATTTTCTTTATGCTATATTTTTAAGTGCAAACATTTAAAATTTTGATGGGGTGAGGTCCAATGTATCAGTTTTTGTTCTTACATAGACTGTGTCTTGTAAGAAATTTTTGCCTAACCTGAGGTCTTGAAGATTTTCTCCAATTTTTTTTCTAAAAGTTTAATTGTTTTAGCTCTGACATTTAAGTCTATGATCCATTTTGAATTCATTTTTATGTATGCTATAAGGTAAACGTCTAAGTTCATCTTTTTTTTTTTTTTTTTTGGCTGCGTTGGGTCTTCGTTGCTGTGCGCAGGCTTTTTCTAGTTGTGGTGAGTGGGAGCTACTCTTCATTTTTTTTTTTTTTTTTTTTTTTTTTGGCTGCGTTGGGTCTTCGTTGCTGTGCGCAGGCTTTTTCTAGTTGTGGTGAGTGGGAGCTACTCTTCATTGCATTGCGTGGGCTTCTCATTGCGGTGGCTTCTCTTGTTGCGGAGCACGAGCTCTAGGCACATGGGCTTCAGTAGCTGCAGCACTCGGGTCCTAGAGCACGCGGGCTTCAGTAGTTGTGACACACGGGCTTCGCTGCTCTGCAGCCTGTAGGATCTTCCTGGACCAGGGATTGAACCTGTGTCCCCTGCATTGACAGGTGGATTCTTAACCACTGTGCCACTAGGGAAGCCCTAAGTTCATCTTTTTTCCATGTGGATATCCAGTTGTCCCAGCACCATTTGTTAGAAAGGCTATCCTTTCTCCAATGAATTGCCTTAGCACCCTTGTCAAAAATCAATGGAACATAAATATTAAAAATTATTTCTGGACTCTCAATTCTGTTTCATTGATCTTTATGTCTATCCTTCTACCAATATCACACTCTGTTGACTGTAGCTTTATAGAGTAAGTTTTGAAATTGGGAAATGAAAGTCCTCCAACTTTGTTCTTTTATTAAAATTGCTTTGGCTATTCTAAGTCTTTTGTATTTCCACACAAATTTCAGAGGCAGTTTATCAGTTTCTGCAAAAAAAAACCCCTATCCAGCCCTGTGCTCTTAAAAGGATATTTTCAGGCCACCAACCTTGCCACCCACAACTCCTCAAGGATGAGAATGCTAAGACTCCAGGAAATCACATATCTAATCACTCCACCAAAATGTCTTCACCTGTCTCCAAAAAGCTCACTCATTCATCGAATACAATCAAAATAAAATATGATAAACACACTCTCTTGCTATAGAAAACATCCCTGGTGAAGCTTCTAACCCATTCCTCAAACCCCAGATAACTTTAGGTTACTAATCTCTTAGAGCACACAATGGAAGCACCACTAGGCAAAGACCATGTGACTCTCTTTTAAGGGTCAATGACTGCTAAGAGCACAAACCTTTTCTGCAGAATGTAGTGCTCATGACACACACCTGAATCTGCAAAGGTTTTTTTGGCAGTGATTTAGATGTTTGATGATAATAATAACTAACACTTATGGAACACCCGCTAGGTGCCAAACTTTATGCACTTAACTCATTTAATCCCTACAACGACTCTCTCAGGTAGGTACCGTTTTATACCACCTACAGATAAGGAAACTGAGGCACAGAGATTTTAAGTCAACTTACTCAAGTTTGCACAATTAGGAAACTAGGCAGAGATGGGATACAGACCCAGGAAGTCTGGCATCAGAGCCTGAACTCCTAACTTCTACACTAGAGCTGTTGATAATAGAGACAAGAAAATATAAAGCCAGACTTTCCAGAACCGAGGCTCGTTTTATTAATTTGTTCCTTCTCATGAGGGCCTACTATGTGGCAGGCCTTTTTGAGACACTGGTGATATAGGCTGAACTGTGATATTTCCCTTAAAGAAACAAACCAGAAAATGAATGAGTCCATATGGTGTGGTGAGTGACACATGTGGTAGTGGGAGCACAGGTAAGGACACCTAAATTAGCTCACTAAGGGAGTGGGAGAGGGTTTCCTAGAAGAGGGGATGATAGTATAAGCTTTCAGGGATGAAAGAGTGAGGCAAAC